AGCAACAACATCAAGCCACTGACAAAAAACAAATTAAAATATACCAAGAAAGAAAAGCTTGTAGTTAGTTCAAGGATCGCTGGCCTTTAAGAGTATTTTCCAGTCCAGTCTGTTAGGGCACCACGCCCTGTACCCTCATCATTCCTGGGGATCTTGCTGCTCCCCTCCCCTGCTGTTCTGCTGCACTTCCCCAGTGCTTTGCCTCAGTGTGGCAGGATCAGATCAGGTGCAATTCCCACACTGTGTCTCTGGTGTTGTCCCCCTCAGGGCCATGGGTCAGTGAGGGGCATCATGTCTCATAGTGGGGCTGGCCATATGGTCCTCTCTGTGGACTGGCTGCTCTAACTGGGGTCATCATCCTCAAGGCCTGGTGGGCCAGGATGTGCTCCAGTCTCTCCTCCTCCCCCGTCATCTGCTCCTGTGTGCTCTGGTCAGATATATCCTTTTCCCGAAGCTGCAGATTCAGTGCCATCCTTTGAAATAAATTCTTCACGGGGGAGGGACAGGTGCTAGAAATTTTTACAGGACAATTTGTTCTTAGCTAATAAGAACTGCATCCAATTCTGCTCTTAGGGATATACCATAGAAAAACTAGTGTATACATCCCAGCCCACCAAGCCCTGATGATATTCCCGCTCAAGGCAGCAAAAGCACATCGAGGATCATATGGCTGGCCCTCATTGACCCCTACCGCTATGGGGGAACAACACTGGAGACACAGCCTTTGAAACTCAGGGGCAGTTCTACCCTGCCATCTAGGGTCACTATGAGTCAGCATCAACTCGGTGGCAGTGAGTTTTGTTGTTTTTCAGAGAAGAAAAATAGATAAGCTGTAAAGCAGTGGTCCTCAACCTTCCTAGTGCCGCGACCCTTTAATACAGTTCCTCAAGTTGTGGTGACCCAATCATAAAATTATTTTGTTGCTACTTCATAACTACATTTGCTACTGTTATGAATCATAATGTAAGTCATAATGTGTTTTCTGATGGTCCTAGGCGACCCCTGTGAAAGGGTCGTTCGACCCTCTAAGGGGTCGCGACCCACACATTGAGAACCGCTGCTGTAAAGGTATAGCTAGAACACAGTGGCTCTTCCCAATCATAAGGAGGATGGTGATAGTTGGGAATTATCATTGTTACAGCTATGTGATTTCTTCAACAGTTGTGTCTGATAATACTCTTTAATTCTTCCATGGGACTTCTACATTTCATGCTAAAAATTCTGTTTGGTTTCTTTTTTTTTAATTCCCTCTTTTAAAATAATTTCAGTTGTTTGTTGTTGAGAGTATAAACAGCAAAGTATAGTTCACCCCAACAGTTTCGACATGGACGCTCAGTGACACTGCTTCCATTCTGAGTTGTACGACCATTCTCACCCTCCTTTTCTGCGTTGTTCCTCATTGACCCCCCATTCCCCCAGTGTTCCCACCTAACCTTTTGTGTTGCTGTTGTCAATTTGAGCCCATGTAGGCGGTTCTTCAAAACATTCTAAAGGCAAACCTTTTCTTCTTCTTCTTCTCTAGTTATGCTAAACTGCTGTTTGGTTTGAAGACCATTTCAGGGAATGTTTTTGGTTTAGGCTTTTAGGATGATTTTAGGGCAAAGTTTCTGAGATTCATTTGCCCTGTGTAGCTATAGAAAGTCTGGAGTCCATGAAAATGTAAAGATGTAATGGACATTTCCCCTGTGATCAGGATCTTTTCTGTGGAGCCTTTGATCAAAGCGTTCAGTAGTGGCACCTGGGCCCCACCCAGTTCTCATGATCTCGTGGCAGAATTCTCCCAATCTTTCTTTTTTTTTAATGTTTTAATTTCTATTTTTTCCCAACAGTTTTATTGGCACATAATTAATGTAATACACAATTGAATAGTTCGATCTTATCAAGGGGAATTGTACAATCACCACCACACCTATCTTAGAACACCCCCCTCCTCCACCCCATGATTCAATCGCCTTTAAAATGAGTTGTGCAGTCTGATCAGTTCTAGTGTTCCCTCCTGCCTCCTGCCTTCATTACTTACTACCCAAATCCCGTCCCTCCCTATGGCCCATCTCCCACCCCTGCCTTCCCCAATAACACCTGTAGCAATTATTATCATTATACATCTACTCCTCCTGTGCTTCACACCTGGAAAACCCAAAAGGAAACAGTGAAAAATAAATTGCCTTAAGGTAGTAAGGATAAGAGCACATCAGTATAAAGACAAAAACACAAATAATATACAAGAGGGAGAAGACCCCCACCAACATTTAGAAAGCCAGGGGAAACAATTTCTGTCATGGAACAAGTAAGGGACAAGGCCTTGCACCCAATAAAATTCAGGTCTTGTTTTTAGGGAGGTCAACTGGCCAGGCATCAAGCTTGACCCAGCATAATCCAGATCACAATGGTCTCTAGTAAGACTGTGTGGGACCTGTGCCACTGGCCAGAGCAGATCTATCAGCAGCTTGGTCTGACTAGACACTCTGCAGATGGGTTTTGGGCTCCCACTGTCCTCCATAGCCTTCTACAAATTAGGTGTCACAGTAGCTCTGATACTTTTCTCCATATTTTATTTTTGTTCTTTACATTTTTGAATCACACAAGCTAGTGTGCTTCTGTGTGAACTTAGTTGACTCCTCATTTAGATAGCTGCTTGTTTTGATACAACCCTTTAAGACCCCAGCCACTATTTCAATTGATAGCTGGGCAACATCGACTTTCTTTACCACACTTTGCTGTAGCACCTTTATGTTCTGTGGTAGTCACCTAATCTGGTGTCAATTTAAGGATTAAGAGTGTAGGGGTGGAGTCTAGGCTGTCAATCTGGAGATAGCCTTTGAAACTTCTGTGTATGCCTGGCCTTTGGAGAATTCTAGGAAATCTGGAACTTCCTCCTTGGAGGCGGAAGACACCTCTTTCTCTCTGCCACTCCCTGGGAGACATTGCAGAAGACAAGCCACATGGATGCAACCAGACCTCGGAAGCTGGAGAAGCCACAGCTTCCCTGCCAGCATGAGATGTTTACAATGCCACTGGACCCAAAGACTTTCTACCCACTGGCTTGTGATCGTCCTCCATTCGGCGTCATTGCATGTGTTTTGTGAGTCTGAAGAGGACTTTATGGATTAGTTAACTGTTTATTTCTTATTCTATCTATCTATCTATCTATCTATCTATCTATCTATCTATCTATCT